AACAAACAAGTGACACCTCTCTAATGGCAGCATTAATAATTGTACCACATAATTTTACGTCACATGCACATACAGCTAGTCTGCTCCCACGTTACAGGGCAAAATGATGGCTCATGTCATCAGATTCTGAATACATATTTTAAAAAAGTAAATTTAGCCAACACATCACTGATGAAAAATAAAAGTAAAGCATTCTGCAGAACAAATCTGACCCAAGGCTTTCAAAAAGCAAGACAGTGTTTTGATGTACCAAAGTCTAAGAGAAATCAACATAGTTGCATTAAAAGATGTTAGTATTTAGCCTATTACTTAAATGGATAAGCATTCATCACTTTTATTCAGCCAGTATGTTGTCCCTAATGTTACAAAAATGTTACCTTCTGAACCATGCCGAGACCAGATTCTCACAGTGGAGTCAGAAGCTGCAGAAGCTATTAGCAGGTTTAGGTCAGGTTCATCTGACTGGTAGACAGCATCCACAGCACAAACAGCTTCCGTGTGGCCTTTGAGGGGAATGCTTTTGACAGGCTGAACAGAAGAAAATTTTACAAATTTTTAAATTCCAGTAACTTATCTGAGAGAATTTTTAAAGCCATTTCAGGAAATAAAGTAATTTAATACTGAAAATGAGTTGTGTACCTGCAATGGCAGAGCATCTGCAAACTATGCTTAAGCTATAGCATATTCTAGGAAACCCAGAGAAAGGATACAGCACATAATGAACATTAACTTGATTTTGCTCAAAGCTGAACAGAATTAAATGTTGCTGCGTACACTATACGAACATCACCACTCCTTGAGGGAAGTTTGAAACAGCATAAAAGTTAGGAAGAGCAGTTTTCCTTCCTTCTTCTACTTCTCTTGTCCCTCCCCTAAGGAACATCTCACAAAAGTCTGGAGAACCTTGGTGAAGGAGAACAGAGAACACAATGAAATAGTAGCACTACAGCAGCTCTAGCAGCAATGTTTACCGTGTTCTCACAAATCAAAACAGCTTTTTATTCCTTCAAAACGACAACATGAAAAACAAAACCTCTAAGTCTAGACTTAAGCATCTACTTTCTTAATGAATAAATATAGGTGACTCAATTTGCAATCTGTTCCTGATAAATACAAAGACCAAAATTACTTTAATTCTGCGACTAGCAATCATCCAGCATTTATACAAATTTTATCATAAACATATCTGACATCTCTTTCCAAAATATAGCTTGGTAGGGCCCAGCAAGAATTTTTGATCAGTTTGATATAGAATTTTGTCTGTTTTTAAGAGTTTACACTAGTCTAGAACTGTCATTAAAATGTGTATATTTAGCCATATTCTTTTTCAATGATTGCCATAAGGCTGTGCACCACATCAGCATAAAAAGTTAATAAAGAAGTCTGTATGTTATCTTAAATAAATGCATAAATAGTTACAATGGATCAGGATCAGAAATAACTTACTTCCGAGAACATTCCCACATCGATTACATTCTCCCTACTATGCATTTCCCCCTACTATGAATTGTCGTGCACTTTAAAGTGCCAAGCCTAATCTAGTTTGAGACAGCCAGTGAAACAAGTTACCTACACAGCCATTCACAAAACAAGGCCTAATAAGCAAGATTTTAAAAGTTAGATAATAAATTTCAGTTCATTCTCAAGGCTCTATTACACAGTACTCCATCTTTTGCCTTATATTTTACAGTATGAATAATAAGTTAGCATGTCTTCTTTCTTTTCTCAATTTATCTGACAAAACTCAATTGTTCTATGGATTTTTTAATTTTATTTTTGTTAAGCACCTACCCCAACTTGTATACCATCCTTCTAAGACTACCTATAAACAAACATTACACTGTTGCACAGATTGACTGGAAATCACTAGAAATGGATATAAGGAAATGAGGAAGGAGGGTACAAAAAATGTCAACTCAGAATGGATCTCATAGTTTGAAGATTTTAAGGTGGTTTAAAGAAAAGAGCCACATGACATCAGAAAGCTGATGAGTAAAGAAGATACAAACGAGATCTTTCAGACATGATAAACAAATCCACCTGATGACTGATTAGTTAGTTAATTTTCTGATTTGAAAAAGATGAACTATAGAAAAGAGGAAACAACATTTGTAGTAAAACATAGCACGACATAATACCAACAATTACAAGGATACACACATGGGATTCAACAGTCAAAGTAAAATAATGAGGTATGAACCAGAAATACAAACAAAACAGATAATTTGAGATATGTGAGAAACTAATGAAGAGGGAGCTTTGAAAAGAGGTTATTCTAGCTTACCTGATTATTCCATGTTTCTATACCATTCCAATCCCAAAGAATAAGTTGTTTATCAGATCCACCAGAAATTAACTCTGTTTCAGAAGCTAAAAAATACGTTTTGGTAAATTTTGAGAACCCTTACCTTTGTAACAACAGACAACAAACATAAGCAGTTACATTGGCTACAAGTCAGAAAATATCCCTGGTAACCAAAGTTTCCATCAAAATAAAGTATGTCTAAAAGGAATTGCACAGGGAGGAACAGCTTAAGAGCAAATGTATTACCTAAAACAGCATAAAGAGAAAAGTCACAGGAATATTTAAAGTTCTGGATGAATGTGATAAAAATATCTTTCCAAAAGAATGTCAAATCCAACAATGTAAATTAATATTTTGGGCTTTTGTTTGATCTTTTTGGAGGATAGGAAAATATAGCAAGAGAAATCTAACCAAACAGAATTCAAAGGTCCACATGAAAATTTAACTCCCACGTTCCCTGAAAATAATTTATTTTAATCAGTTTTAAGAAGAATGTGTTTTAGTGCAATCAGTTGAAGGATGACAGGTCTTATCACCATTAAACACTAATGTTTTCACCTCAGTACATCTCCTCCAAAAAGGCAACCTGCACATTACATTAACAGTTTAATCAATGGCCCCATTTCTCTTTGTCAGTAATTTTCCATAAATGCCTAAGGACAAGAATAAGTGCCTTTGAACAGTCTGCACTAAGCAACGCTAAATCTTGGAATTACTATCAAGCAAAAACCTCCTAAGTGTCTCAAATATTCCTATCCATCTAAAGATTATAGTTTTTCATGGATATGAACTCCATGCAACTTAGACCTGTATAGTCATAGATTGCTCATAAGGCACTGAGAATCAGTTTACAAAGTTAAAACAGGCAAGACTCCAAACCCTTACTAAAGAGCCTGGTGGCAGCTCAAGCAGCACAGCCACCAATCTCTCAGGAACACCGCAGCCCCGGGCAATCACCCTCCCAGGGTGCCCTTGGCTGTGGGGCTGGAAGCAGACAGCCTGACCGAATTCCCACACTCACTGGGAAGCTCACCTGGGTTTGGCAAGTCACGTTCCTGTGAGGAATGATGTCAAATTGAGGCCACACCTCGAGTACTGTGTCCAGTTCTACATCCCTCAATTCTGGAAGGACACTGAGGTACTGGAGCAAGTTCAGAGAAGGGCAATGGAGCTGGTGAAGGGTCTGGAGCACAACTTTATGAGGAGCAGTTGAGGGAGCTGGAGTTGGGATTTTTTAGCCTGGAGAAGAGAAGGCTCAGGGGGGACCTTAGCTCTCTCTGCAACCACTTGAAAGAAGATTGTGGTCAGGTGGGGGTCGGTCTCTTCTCCCAGGCAGCTAGTGGCAGGATGAGAGGATACAGCCTTAAGCTGCATCTGGGGAAGTTTAGGTTGGGCATTAGGAAGAATTTCTCACAGAAAGGGTGATTAGACATTGGAATGGGCTGCCCAGGGAGGTGGTGGAATCACTGTTCCTGTAGGTGTTTTATGAAAGACTGGACATGGCACTCAGTGCCATAGTCTCGCTGACACGATGGTGTTTGGTCATAGGTTGGACTCAATGATCTGAAAGGTCTCTTCCAACCTAACTGACTTTGTGATTCTGTGAAATACCACTGGAAAGCCTAGTTTAAGGCGAGAAGATGCGCTGCAACTCCCCATTTCCTTCAGTTTACAGCGCAGCCCCTCTGTTGCCGGCCCGACCCTCCCCTACGAGGACAGCAGCTGCCTGGCCCCGAGGGAAACCAGCTCCGAGCCACCCGCGGCATCTCACACCCGAAGGGACGAGGGCTACTCACCGCGGTCCCGCCGGCGGACCCAGCGCACGCAGTTCACCCTGCCGGCGTGGGCCCGGAGGGTGGCGGCCGCCCGCCTCGCCTGCAGGACACAGAGAGCACCGACGTGAGGGACCGGAACCGGCCTCGACTCCGGCCCCGACGCGACCTCGGCCCCGACCCAGTCACGGTCCCGGCCCCGACCCAGTCACGGTCCCGGCCCCGACCCAGTCACGGTCCCGGCCCCGGCCCCGACCCCGGCCCCGAGCCGCCCCACAGCGCATCAGCTCACCGCCGGGTCGTAGAGGACGACGTCGTGGCAGCTGCCGAAGGCGAAGAGGCCGCCGCGGCCCCAAGACAGGGCTCCGCCACCCGCCCGGTTGGCGCAGCAGGCAACATGACAGAGCGACACGGGCGCCGCCATTTTGGCCGCCGCCGCGCGCGCGACCCTGCGCTGCTCCCTTGGCAACGACCCCGCGAGGGGCGGGTCCGGGGGAGGAGCGACCTGAGCAGCTCCGAGCGGATCAGTGTGGGATGCTTGGGGTATTTTTGGGGAGGTCTGAGTTTTAATCTTTGTTGCACCTTTTGCCAAGCGCTCAGACGTGTAAAAGGTTTAAAACATTTCTGTTTGGTTGGGGGAGGGGATTTTGGTTTGTGTTTATAGAAGTTACAGAATCACAGAATCGGGATGGAGTCCCGAGATGGCCATGGAGTCCAACCTGTGACCAAACACCACCTTGTCAACTGGACCATGGCACTAAGTGCCATGTCCAGTCTTTCCTTAAACACCTCCAGGGATGTTGACTCCATCACTTCCCTGGGTAGTTCATTCCAATAGATAATCACTCTGTGAAGAAATTCCTCCTGACGTCCAACCCGAACCTCTCCTGGCACAGCTTAAGACTGTGTCCTCTCATCCTGTCACTAGTTGCCTGGGAGAAGAGGCCAATCCCCATCTCCTACAATCTCCTTTCAGGTAGTTGTAGAAAGTGATAAGGTCATCCCTGAGTCTCCTCCAGACTAAACAACCCTAGTTCCTGCAGCTGCCTCTCATAGGACTTAGCTTCTAGACCCTTCACCAAGTTGATTCCACAGGTACTAGGAAAGAGCTGGGCTGAGTATCAGAGATCATGTCGTTGTTAGCCATTTCTGCTCTGTTTCAGTCACCTGTGAAGCCACCTTCTGATAAGGAATCATGCTTAAATTAAGTCACTGACCTCGGGGTGTATTTATTACCATGTATATGATGTCCTAAAATTGGTGTCACAGAAAGCAGGAGAATTCGCAACTGAGCAATGGCTAGGGCCCACACGGGATGATCTGAATATGTTTGAATGCCTCTGTTTTTCAAGAAAGGATGTGCTTGAACTGCACCAGCCATTTAGCTTCATGAGCTCGAGGGTTTTGCCAGTTCCCAGTAGCTACAGGTGCAACCTGCTGCCCCACAGGCTGTGTAGGAGTCTCAGTAGGACCTTCAAGACCTCCACTGTGCCTCCAAATGCTCTGCGCCACACATGCAGAAGGCCCTGGAGTAGAGGCCAGGCTGAAGTATAAATGGAGAACTCTGCAATGAAAGCATGGAAAGGGAGAGAAACAGAGATGTGCTTCCCATCCCCAAATTGCACCTGGGATATCCTGAAATAATTGAAACTGAACTGAAAAGCTGGAAAGCCTGGGCTAGAGGGAGAAATCAGCTCTACGGGGCTGTGCAGGGAATGAGGTGGGGATCAGGAAGAGAAAGCAGAAAGCAAGCAGGCGTCCAGAGGAAGCACTCTGCATACCATAGGGAACACTTTGGGTCCTGAAACTCTCCTGCCAAGCCTTCATCTCCCCGTGTGCCTGTGTGTTCTTGAATACTGGCTGTCAGCAGCGCTGTAACCTGACACAAAAACGTTCCAGCTAGGCACAGTTTTTTCCAGTGGGTATGACAGGAAGGAAGCTGTGCCTGATCACACACAAGATACAGCCAGAAATGTTAGCTGCTAAGGGAACAAATGACTCCTTGCAGAAAAATGCATGGATGTAGGAATCAAAGCATGCTTTAACTGAGGAATGCTGTCCTGAGGTGCCAAGGATGGCTGTACAGCAGTCAGGTTGCACAGCAACCCCCTTCTCAGCATGCCCTGCCAGGGTTGGAGTCAGGGCTCCAGCAGAAGGAGGTCGGGCACTGCCAAAAAGCTGGGTCATGTTATAGGAGTTGCCTCTGTTGCTGTGGGAACAAAGCTGGCTCTGACTGTGACTGTAGGCATAAGTGTAGGCTTTTCCAAGATGGATTGGCTGAGGGATTCCTCTATGACACAAAAAGTTAGCTCAACTGATAGATAACCCACTGCTGCTGCAGTCCTGTTGGAGAGATTTGAGGTGCACGTTATGCCAGAGGGTGCAAGGGCACTGTGCCTCCATGCTGCAGGGTTTTGTGGCACTGGTCCCTCTCATTCTTAGACCACCACCTCGAGGATGTTGCTTTCCCAGCCAATTTTAGAGAGCACATTGTAGAGGGTTGCTAGTACAAAGTATTGCCACTGATTGCCTCCTTTCTCCAAATAAAGGTCTGTCACTATGACCTTGTGTCACCCCAATATGGCCCAGCACTGCGAGAACTGGGATAAATCAACACGGATTATGGACTTGAAAGTACCATGAGGAATGCTGTAACAGCACCATGGCAGCATGGCTAAAAAGCGCGGGAAGCTGGATTTGTGTCAAGACAGATCAGCCAGACAAGCCTCATTTCTTACTTTTTGTAAGTATTATGTCTGACCAAGTCCTCATTCACACGAGACCCTGAGCCTTGGGTCTAACCCAAGAAAGTTTTTTTGTGAATTCTCTTGAAAACTGAAATATCTTGAGGATAGTATATGAGAAGTTCAGAATATTGGATAATTATAACAGAACCAATATGTCTTTTAGGAATGTGCTTTATAAGGAATTAATGGTGATGGTCAATGATGTTACAAGGATGAAAAGGGACATACTCTGGACTAGTCAGCAACAGCCAATCTTCATTCATAGCTAATGTCCTTACTGAATTAAAATCTGTCCTTGCTGTTTTCCTTCATAGTCCTAGAAAACAACTTCTTCGCTGTTCAGTAATATACGTAAAAATAATCTTCTGCTTTTTGCCACCTTTGGTGTAATTTTTGAGGCACGGGAAGAACTCAGTTCATTGAACATCAGAAATAGCTGCTGTGGTGCCTAAGCAGACTTCAAAAGTCACTCCATAGCTTTATTCACATCTTTTACATGTCCCGGTTTGGTTCTGCCAATGGAGTTACATCAACAAACTCCCATAAGGAAGTTTGTGCTTACACTGACAAAAAGTTTCTTGAGCTTAAAATAAATTTGCCAGTTAGTTAGATATTGGAGTAACTTCAGTTATTCCATTATTGGAATAACTTTGTTCCAATAGTAAAATAGTAGCAAAATAGTAATTTTGATGGTAAACTACAAGACAGGTTTTGCAGGCAGAGGTGGCTTAGTGCTCTTCACATGCTCCCTATTCAACTCAGTTATGCTTACAGCTTTATGATAGAGACTGAAAAAATACACGAGTCAAAAAGTTATATATAGTATTTAATGTATTTATCTATGTCTAAACATTGAGATGAAAACATAATAACATTGCAAATGTGTTTTCATTTCCTGCAGAATGTTTCCAAAGTATTATACAGCATGTTTAGCCTCATCTTTCTTTTCTTGTTTTCTGAGGAAAATATGGTGTTGGATATATATTGCATGTATTGTTAATTGAATACATGTTGAGAAGAACTCTAGTCTTTGCTAGGTTAAATCAAAGTTTTATGCTTTCTGTTATTGGGTGGAGTCTTGTTGATGTAGAGGAACATATATGAATAGACAGGAGTCATCATACATGATACTATGAAAAGCAGCAATCACATGTTAGGTTTAAAGTTATATGTAGTTTAATTCTATAGAAGAATGTTCAAAAGTTGCTAAATGAGCAAAGCCAAGTACTCAAAGGTTGGGAGGCCTTGTTCTTGTAAGTTTTTGACCTTAGCCTATCTTTATGTGTCTTCATTGTATACTTGCCTTATGAAGTAATTCCTAATGCAGTTGCCTCATATGCAAGTTACTGCTTGCTATTTTTACTGTAGGTTGCTTGCCTCCAATATCAACGTGGCAAATAGTGTCTGGAGAATGAGACAGCTATTCAGTATTTTAATTTCTCCTCATTAGTTATATCACGGCTGTACAGTAGTCTTAGCCCAGAATTATTTTTTTCCTAGTAGCCTTCTTCTACTGCCACAGCACCTGAATGTCTCAGGAAAAAATTTACGAGTTATGTTTTTTTTTATAAGATAACTGTTAGGCAGAGGGGTATTATTATATTCATTTTCTAGGTGACAATTTTTTCATAGACCAGAATTCATAATACAATCACAGACTCATACAATGGTTTGGGTTGGAAGGGACCTTAAAAATCATCTACTTCCAATACCCCTCCCATGGTCAGGGACACCTTTCACTAGACCAGGTTGGTCAGGGCCCCATCCAACCAGGATTTGAACATTTACAGGGATGGGGCAGCTGCAGCTTCTCAGGGCAACCTGTTTCTGTGCCTCACCACCATCACAGTAAAGAATTTCTTCCTAATAGCTAACCTAAACCTACTCTCTTTCAGTTTGAAGCCATTCCCCCTCGTCCTACCACTACACTCCTTGATACATAGTCCCTCCCCCTCTTTTCTGTAGAAATCCCCCTTTAGGTACAGGAAGGCTGCTCTAAGGTGAACCCAGAGACATCTCTTCTCCAGGCGGAACAAGCCCAAATCTCTCAAGCACCACATATCTTCAGTGATGAAGTGCCTGTCGTGGAAGACAAAGAATAACATCCAGGAGAGGGGCAAACCACCCACAGCATCCATTGCCTCCAGCTTGGATTGAGAGGCTTGAATTGAAACTTGGAAATCAGATTCCAGCACTGGGGCACTTCTGATGGCTGCATGGGGCCAAGGTTTCATCTGTGGGATCAGAGCAGGAGCATTGTGAAAATAAATAATAAACAATAGTGACCAAAAAACATAAAGACAAGTTTAAATTACTTCCAAGCTTCACAGAGGATACCCCATACAACATAGAGAGGCTAGGAACAACTCTCTTGCCTTTGACATCTTGAGTACAGATCCAGCCTCTTCCTTTTTGCCAGCTGTGAGATCTACTTTGGAAGGCATTTCAGTGCATGAGGAATACTTATGGGCTTGCTGGGATAAAAAAAGCAGATATTGTCACTTGAATAGGTTTAATTTAAAATGTTTAGAATAAGTTTTTAGAAACAATTTCTCCTTTAATTCATCTCACTGAAGACTGAAATGTGAATGGTGCTGGTGAAAGAAGTTGAACTGAACAAATCTTAACTATAGCTATTTCCATTTTTCTTGAAGGCTGTATTCTAATTATTTTATGAATAGCTTACATCCCCACTGCCAAAATGGGTTTCTGATTTTCTAAAGAAAAAAAAAATTAATTATTTAGAAATATCATTCAAAATTAGTTCTCCAAACAATGACTGTAATTGCTGGCTGAAAGAAATTCCACAGAAAATCTCTCTGATTTTCTTTATCTTTTTTAAAGGAAGACCTAACGCAAACATGACCTAGAAAATTGCTTGGGGAAAAAAAAGAGAGAAAAAGGATGAAACAGCTTGTCACATAATCCAATTGATTATGCATTATGTTTTTGAAGCAGAAGCTCTAAAAAGAGACATGATAATAGGCATTCATTCCAGAGGGCGTACGTGTATAAACACACACACACACACACAAAAAAAAGAAAGAGTATGTGGAAATGCCATCTGGAATACTTAAAATCATATTTTACACTTGCATTCTGTATGTAGATTTGGTATGGCTTCTATAGGATATTGTTTCATACTATGGAATAATATCTTCCAAAACCAAAAATAAATTGGGTAATAATTTCCTGACACATTTCTTCATGCTCATTTTAAAAACCCAAGCTTATCATGTTGAATTAATGTCAATGGATTATTTTATTTGTATACACACATATATATGTATGGAACCACATCCACTACATATATATTTATAATGGATTTGATCATGAAAGGTTGTTGCACAAATTATATGATATTTAGTAATCTCCAGAAGGATAATCCTGATCCAAAGCCTTCAGCAGTCAAACAGATTCCCAGTATTAGATGAGGCTGTGAGTCAGGGATCTGGTTACTGACACTAAGAACTGGCAACTTTTTTTAACTGTATGATAATGCCACACTTCCCTGCTCTTTTTCACTGTCTCACACCTGGTACTTTGGTGAGCATAGGTAGGAAAATTAATAACCTTCTAACCTTCCCATCTGGAGCTGTCACGGGTTTCAGCTAGGAGAAAGCACAAACAGCATTACAAGTTTGTATGAGGAAATCCCCATTTCCAGTGCTAAGTTCTCAAAGACAAACGTCTGCTGAGTCTCAGAGCTGCAGGGGAAAGAGGAACATGCCACAGCATATTCAGTACTCATACAGCGGCCTGCTTGTGTTGGGTCGTACTTCCTCTCCTAGGAAAGGTAACAAAAAACTCTAATTTCTGTCAAAATACAGTTTCCTTTTAAAAATTTTTTGGGGGGAGGGATGTTCTTTTTTTTTCCTTTTGCTATTGGTGTGTATTGGTGTACGGAGTTTCTGTAGTAGACAACAACTTCTCTGGAGTATTTGATAAACTGCTTTACCACAGGTTATAGATGAAGTTGTAAGAAAGGCTTGAACCTGTCCCGATGCAGTGGCCACAAAGTGCCCTGTGCCATTCAAGTTGGAGTTGGAATCACAGGTGACTCTATTGTTTTTCCCGTCACCCACAGCAGGACACAGCTTGGACAAATGCCACAGGCAACAGAGGAGAAATAAAAACAACTTTATTTTGAAAGGGGGAAATATGCTTTCTGTTTAATATGGCTCAGCTTATATAAGCGGCTCAGAAGAAGACTTCATACCATACTAGCATTAAGAAAACATTGTTAATAAGAAAGATGTTTTCTACAGAGATATAAGGCTGAATAATAGTTGATGGGAAAGAAATTCAGAAAGTAAAAAAATTGACTGAACACAAGCAAAAAAAATATCCCAATGGTAAATCAACCAAAGTATTCCAGATTAGGAAACTGCAGTGTACTGAACAGGAACTTGTAATACCTCTTCAGATTTAAGGTAGTAAAAGCTGCTTTGCACCTAAATCTAGAGTTCAACTTCCTTCTTCTAAATAACAATTCTAAAAAACATACTCTTTGGACTTCGAGTTAGTATTTTGACAGTTAAAATTGACTCAGTGGATAAAATGGAAAAAAATGAAAATTAGTTTGCATAAGGAAAACACCATGAAATGGAGAAAATATGAAAAGCTACATTAGTTTAACCATTTGGAAAAACATATACAACATAACTCAATCTGGCATTTCCAAGCATATGGGTTTTAACTCTCATGTGCTATAGTGTTTTAAGGCAAGTTATTTTCTTTTAATTTTTATTTGTTTCCAGTCATAAACAGAACACTTAAAGAAGTAAAATACTGAAGCAAGCATGCCTAGAGAATGAGGGCAAAAGCAATCTCTGCACCAGTGAGCCTTACAGGACATTCTGCAAATAGCTTTGCATGAAAGAACCAGGCAGAAGGGGCACCTACCAAAAGCCTGCAGTGCACACTGAAATTCACTCATGAGAATCAAACTTCTGCACACTCAGCAATAATAATACTCAGACAATAGATGCTTACCTTTCATGCTGCATAAACTGTCAACAAAACCAAACTTACAGAGGGCTAGAGTGAATTTTTATATCATTTTGAGGGCATGAAAAAATCTCATTTCACGAAGGAATATTGACAAGGTAAATTGCAACTTTCCTCATAGTTCCTTCCCCAATTCTCCCATTTCTTCCATCCAAAAAGTCCTTCATCCATATTATCAGCTACAGCAAAACTTTTATTGTGCATCAGACAAACAGATGAAGAAACTTACATCCACCCACTCTGTTTCAGTCTCACACTATTCCACGTGTCTTACTTCAGACTCTTGAAGCTCCAGTGTCTCCGAGAAGATCCAGTCCCTCTCTTTCTCATCACCGCTGGTGCTGCAGTCTGCTGACCTACTCCTGAAGCTTCTTAACTTGGTGACACAGATCTTCAATGAGGACACATCTACTAGAGGCTAGAAAACTGTCTCCTGCTGCCCCAGCCTCAATGAGAGGCCCTAGGCATTCCCTACAGGCCAAGACGTGGAGAGCTGCATCCTCCTGGAGCTCTCTCTGGGTCGAGGCCTCTGGCCCTGCTTAAGTAGGAGGGTTGGACAAGACAAATTTCAGATGTCCCTTCCAAACTCAGCTGTTCTGTGGCTCTATAGATCTGTTACAGGGAAATTGCTCCAGTGTCTGCTGGGGACTATATCCTGCAGTGCATCACCACCATTGCTGAGGACATAGATGCAGTTCAGAGCAGAGTTGCTGTGTCCTTCTGCACAAACTGTTAAACAAACTGCTGCATCCATTTGCTCCCTCAGTCACCTCCTTTATGAAATGTTTTCCTGCTTTTGCAATTTATCCTTTCAGTAATGTTTCTTTTAATAGCAGGAGCTGGACCTTCAGACACCCCATCCAGCCTAAACCATAGCATAAATCTCATATTTGCTCTAACAGGTGATCATATTTTCAACAGACATTGAATTCTGAGTCTATTCAAGTCTTCTTCTCCTTCTGTACAAAACGTGGACAAGTCTGTAACACATTGAGTGAGCAATTGGCTGATGGATCAGGCTCAAAGAGTTGTACTAAATGGTGTTACAGCAGGCTGGTGGCCAGTCACCAGTGCAGTTCCCCAGGGCTCAGTTTTAGGGCCAATGCTGTTTATTGCTACAGAACCAAATGTAAACAACGTAAGGCTTGCTGAAGTTGAATCCTTCAAGAGCAGAGAGGCCTTATAGAGAGATCTGGATGGACTAGAGAACTGGGCAACCAACCGTATGAATTTTAAAAAAGAGCACGTGCCAGATTCTTCATCTGGAACAGTGTAATCCTTGTTATACAAACAAATCGTGGGGCAGACAGGCTGGAGAGCAGCCACACAGAAAGAGATCTGGGAATTTTGGTTGATGGCAAGTTGAATGTGAGTCAACACTGTGCCCTGGCCACTGGCCTCCTAGCCAGGAGGGCCAACAGTGTCCCAGGGTGCATCAGGCAAAGCATCGCCAGCTGGTCAAGGGAGGTGTTTGTCCCGCTCTGCTCTGCACTGGTGCAGCCTCACCTCAAGTCCTGTGTGCAGCTTTGGGTGCTACAATGTAAAAAGGATATTCAGACTATTAGAGTGTGTCCAAAGAAGACAACCAAGATGATGAAAGGTCTTGAGGGCAAGCCTTCAAGGAGTGGCTAAGGTCACTTGGTTTGTTCAGTTCCAAGAAAAGAAGGCTGAGGGGTGGCTTCATTGTAGTCTACAATCTCCTCAAAGGTGGCAGTGGAGGGGAAGGTGCTGATCTCTTCTCTCTGGTGACTAGAGATAGAACATGAGGAAATGGAATGAAGCTGTGTCAGGGGAAGTTCAGATTCTTTACTGTGATGGTGATTGGTCATTAGAACAGGGCTCCCCAAGGAAGTGGTACAGTACCAAGCCTGTCAGAGTTCAAGGAGCATCTGGACGATACTCTTAGTCATATGGTGTAATTTTAGGTAGTCATGTGAAGAGCAGAGAGTTGGACTAAACGAACCTTATGGGTCTCTTCCAACTTGAGATATTCTATGATCCTTTTCCTAGTCTCTCATTACGTACCAGAAACTTTTTTCCTTCTCATCTCCTTTTCCACTCTCCTATTCACTTCCCTGTTGCCTTAACTTCTGCACTGTGTTCAAGGAGCCAGCAATCCTGAACATCCCTGCTCTAATGGGCCTTATGCACAGGGCTTGAACAGCCCATTTTTTAGCGTGAGGAGACGCATGAGGAGGGAGCTTGCTGTCCCACACCAGCCTGATCGCACCACACTGCGATCTGCTAGGGTGGAAATAACCTTCCAACCTGTTGGAAAACT